TCAGAATGAAAAAGTTAAAAAATCAATTCCGCTAAAATTTTATAGATCACGCCATTAGGCGAGAATCTGCAGTGATAAAATGGGTGCGGCCGCTAGGTTGTTTCTTTTTAAATTTACTACGGAATTATGATACAACTATTGCTACATAATGCTAAAGAACTTAGTGCAGTACAATTCATTAGAGGAAAGATAAATACGCATGCTAAAAAGATATTTATTCGCTTCGGACTCTTATCAAATTCCGATTTCCTTGTATATGTTTTATATAATGCAACAGAAATCAAAAACCGATATTAAATGTTGATAAAAAAATCAGTATTTACTTTTTGATTTGTTCTTACTTAGTTTGTGAATATGTTCTGAATTTTATATTTCCATTTTTTTGGGAACTTTTACATGACAGATAAATTGATAGTCGTTGATCATCAAAAGCCATAATGAAAAATCGCAGCGAAAAAATTTGATTCATTTCTAAATTCAAATTATATCCATATGACTATGAAACTTGATTCTGAGAAATGACATAATATTGTAAAAAACTTTAGAGCTGGGCTTAAAAAGAAGCCGAGAGGTGCAAGGATGAGTGTTCGATATCGATTCCCATCAGAGTCGAAAATCGAATCTTTTGAAATCTAAGACTGATTAACTTTGTTTACGTGGTGCATTTTAATATTTTTTTTTTATTTCAGGTATATTATTATTGTGCCTACTATGTATATCTAATTATCTGTACGTTGAAACTGGACAGATTCTAGTTTAATAATAAATTTTTTCATAATTCATCCGAATTTATTTTTTTAATAAAATAACTCCAAATATGGATTAATTTTAATAGCCCGGGCTCAAAAGGTTTCTTTATGATAAAATTCGACTTGCTTTAAACGTTAAATATATATTTATAAATGACTGCTAGAACCAATAATAATTTAAAGTGCAAAGATTTGGAATCCTAAAGTAACTATGCGGTGAAATTCTTTAATGAAAAAGCTATATTAGGAAATTCTCCTATTTAAGTTACTTCCATAAATAATAATTTGTTGTTTGAGCATACTATTAATAATTTTATTTGGGCAAAATAGGCTTGGCGTAATTTTGCAGTAAGTTAAGGAGAATTGACGTCGAAAAGCTAAAAGACTATTGAAAAACGGGAGGAATCTGATTATTAAAGTCTAGAAGTGTTAGTTTTTTAAACGTATTCTATTTAAGAATCCTTAATAAGTAGCAAATGTGTTACCATGCATATGTGAAAATGGCATAAATAAACATCACGCAATGTAATACATGCGTACTTATCAATAAATTGTACTATAAATTTGATGTAACACATTCTTTTGTTGCATAAAAAATGTCAAATGCAAACCGACCAGAAAAAATTGAAAATCAATCAAATATTGTTAATATATCCAACGAAGTTAACCAAATGTATTTAGAATATGTGTCACAGGATTTTCTTACTGAAATTATTAAAGAAATGTATAATCTGTATAATAAAGAAAGATTGCATAACAAAAATTACCTTTTAATTCATGACGCTTTAGAACAATTTCTAGTAGAGAAAAAGCAAAATCCAGACAATATTATCAAATATTGTTTAAATAATCAATTCGATCCTATGGTTCAAATTATTCTTGCAATTTGTTATTGGTGTGGTAAATGGATTGAAAAGGATGACCATAAGTCATTCATTTGTTATAAAAAATCTGCAGATTTAGGGGACTCTGGTGGAGCAAGGAATGTTGGATATTATTATCAACATGGAATTGGAGTTGAAAAGAATGAACGCAAGGCATTCACTTATTATCAAAAATCGGCAGAGATGGGGGACGCTAATGGAATATTTGTTGTTGGATATTGTTATCGACATGGAATTGGAGTTGAAAGGGATGAGCATAAGGGATTCATTTATTATCAAAAATCTGCAGAGATGGGTGACGCTGGTGGAACATATAATGTTGGACGTTGTTACCAAAAAGGTATTGGAGTTGAAAAGGATGAACATAAAGCATTTATTTATTATCAAAAATCTGCAGAGATGGGGAACACTGATGGAATAAACAGTGTTGGATATTATTATCAATATGGAATTGGAGTTGTAAAGAATGAACTTAAGGCATTCACTTATTATCAAAAATCTGCAGAGATGGGGGACGCTAATGGAATATTGAGTGTTGGACATTGTTATCGACATGGAATTGGAGTTGAAAGGGATGAGCATAAGGGATTCATTTATTATCAAAAATCTGCAGAGATGGGTGTTACTAGGGCGATACTTAATGTTGGAACTTGTTATTCTAATGGAAATTGTGTTGAAAAGGATAAACAAAAGGCCTTTGAATATTATTTAAAAAGTGCCGAATGTGGAGATTGTTGTGGAATGTATCGAGTCGGTCGGTGTTATCAGAAAGGGATAGGTGTAGAAAAGAATAAAGATTTGGCATTTGAATGGTATTTAAAATCAGCTGTTTCTCAACATAAGTGTAGTTATAATAACTATTTCCGTTGGATAGAATACGATAATTTTAGAAAAATTGAAGAAATAGGTAGAGGAGAGTTTTCCGTAGTGTATAAAACATCATGTGAAACATATGAAGAAGTTGCAATCAAGATAATAAAAGATTCGCATAAAAATCAAACCCTTTTTTTAAACGAGGTATTTTTTTTAGACGTAAATTTATATTGTTATGAATTAATTATATATAATTTGTCTATTTTAGTTAAAGGTGTATCACGAATTTGATAAATACCTTGGCATATCAATGGACAATGATACCGGTGATTTTATTTTAGTGTTAAATTACGCAAGATTTGGATCATTACGTGAAAATATTAAAGAAATATTTAAATTAGAATGGAAAATTAAACTAAAAATATTATGCGATATTATTAACGATTTATCAAATATTCATTCTAAAAAATTTATACATCGAAATTTAAATTCTGGTAATATTTTACTACAAGAACTATACGAAGCTTATATTGATATAGGTTCATCAATCTCAGTTAACGAAAAACAGGATGATCATATTTATGGTGTTTTGCCATATTTAGCACCTGAGGTCTTAAAAGGAGAACAGTTCACTCAAGCAGCTGATATTTACAGTTTTGGTATTATTATGATAGAAATATTAACAGGTCGAAGACCTTTCGATGGTTACAATTTTGATGCTGAATTAGCGGCAATGATTTGTCATGGATTACGACCCGAATTTGTTATAAAGACACCAAAATGTTATGTTAAATTAACTAAACAATGTATTAATTCAGATGTGAAAAAAAGGCCTACAGCTGTTGAGATTATTAATAAACTTGAAAAATGGAAAAACATTTTAGCCGCCAACGATAGTAATGTTAAATCAAAAATGAAAAAAAGATTTAAGGAAGTTAGGGTTTTTGATAAACTTGAAGAATGGAAAAAAAGTATAGTTATCAATGATAATAATGTTAAATTAGACAAGCAAAGTATTGATTCAGGTGATTCAGATAAAGAGATCAAACAACAATTTTTAGAAGCTGATAAATTAACCAAAGAATTGCCAATTACCTCGCAAAAACATGATAGCATGATGTATACTTCTAAACTTATTGATATGAGAGAAATCATTTCAGAAGTTGAAAATTTTTAGATTAATGAATAGCTTAATATCATGTAGAGATCCATATTATTGATATTGATAAAAATTTAATTTTTTAAAATTTTTATAAATAATATTAAAGGATATATTTAATATTGAGTGTATGATTTATATTATTTGTTAATTAAACATTTTTTCAAATTTGTTGATAATTATTATAAATATCTTTTATTAATTTGAAATGTGTAATAAATCTTATAATTAATGTATTATTTATTTTATATTATAAAATGCATCTGTTATATGTTTGATATATATTTCGATTTTTCTAAGTTTTGTATGCAACCAGTCCTTGTTATAATCACACTCGCTATCCCAAAAAAAAATGTAATTATGATTATAGTCTCTTAAAGTGTTTATATTTCATAATATGTTGAAATCTAAAAATGATATAATTTTAGATTGGTTGTAATTATATCCAAGGTGACTATAGTGAGAGCTAGCTGCATAAATTTTTAATATAAAATCTTCATATTAGGATTAATATTTAGGGTTATAGTTAAGGTATGAAAAGGTTTTTGGAAACTAAATATTTTTAATTAAGGCAAATTAATTATTTTTTAAGATATATATGTGTAAAATCAGTACATAAGTGCTGACATTCGATCTAGGTGCCACATAAAAATACATAGTAACAAACAAATTAGTCAAATTCTAGTAGCTCATTAATGAAAATATATTACTAGGTCGATTATAAAATAAAGCAAATCTATTTTCTAAAAGTTAATAAATCAAAATTATTACTCTAAATACTTGAAAGTATGCCGAGATAAAGATACAGCTCAACAGTCCATTAAATTTTCAAATAGTGAAATGAAGAATGAATCGCATTTATATGCAATTATGTTTAATATTTTGGGCTGTGTAGACCAAAAAGTTTTGTTATCCAGGTGAAACTAATAGTCTTTTTTGATCTTTTCAGTACCATTTTCATATAGAACAACATGTTTAAAGCTACGCAAAATAACATATATGTTGTTAGCGGGTAAATAGACAAAAATACTGCTACATAACAAGAGAAAAGCGATGAATTGTCGCTTAACCAAGGGAGATATAGCGTATTGATCAATAGTGAGTGAGGCGGTTATGCTTTGGCGTGGTCTAAGGCGTTTATTGAGGTACGTTACAAGAGATATTCTTAAAGAGCATTGGGTTCAGTGGTTAAGGCTTTCTTTATTAGCAATTTTGTTATTAATTTTTTTGAAAATGCACACGACACTACTATTCTAATGGGAAAGCTTTCACACTATTTATAACGGATTACGGCTAAGAGAAGGAAAAAAAAGAATCATTTTGAACTTTCTTGCATGGCTTTTACACATGCTTTCTCAATGATTTGAAGCCTTATACTCTATTTAGTTAACCTTTTTAATATTCTTCATTCACAGCTACTGCAGCGAAATCAAAAGAAAGCATCCATGCCATTTTTCTCATTGTCAAAATCCCAACTTCATTACCACAATTACGCTTCATTAACTACAGCAATACACTTGTCCAAAGAGAGTAACATTGAACCATCATCCAACTTCGCTCTCAGGTAAACCGGAATAACCCTTTTCCTTTTTTAGATTTGATGGTAGATCGTAAGTTGAGGTTTGGCTTGCGATCGTTTCTTCAATAGGATTCTTGCACATCCATTCACGGGCTGTTATCTTTTGTACTACAGTCCAATTCCAGGTCTCTTGGAGTCATTATTCCATGAAAATTCGGAGTATCAGGTGGATACAATTTCTCCAGTAATAATATTAAATTATCCTCTGTATACTTGCCGTCCAAAATCCCAAACGATTATAGTTTGGGTTTGTCCACACCAAAATCCCAAACTATGGCCAAACTAATATCTTAAAAAACTTTATTAATAATCTTAAATAGATAATATCTATTTTCATGACTATATATAATATATTTGAAAAATATCAAGATCTTTTTTTGATTTAATTTTTTTTAAAAAGTAATTGTGTTTCTAGCAAGTATAATCCCCTGGCCAACCCCACCTAAGTAAATTGTTCATGTACTTGTTTCTATTAGACATATATCTATTTAGTAATTGAATATTATCCTATTTAATTTTAAATGTGTAAAATAAGCGTTTCGCTCTAAATAAGTACAAGAAAGTTATTATACGTAAATGGCAGGGGATTAATCAGTTCTTTCCTGTGTAGATGGATATAAGCGAAATTTTGCAGTAAAGCATAATCAGCCGCATGAGAGGCTGATTATATCTGCCCAGGATATAACTATTACTAATACGTTAAAGTATAAAATAAGTATGTTCGTCTTTAAAATTAAAAAGAAATTTTGATATTTTTATATGCGTCCAAAATAATTTCATTAAATAGTAGTACCCTTGAGTTAATTGATGATACTGTATTTTATTGATGATTTTGTTAGTTTTTTGTTTTTTGTTTGAGAGCTGTATTTAAAAAATTGGTTTTTATTTTTTTTACGAGATAAAGTTTTTTTTTAGATTTGGTAGACATTAGATTCCTACTTTTTAATTTTAATTATCAGCAAGCCGAATATTTAGAAATATCGCACAAAAAAAAAATCATAATTCTTATAAATTTTGTATCCCTGTTTCTTACCTATTAAGGGGCTTCAGAATTTAAAAAAAAAAATAGCGTATTTCAGAAATAGGTGATGTTTAAAAAATCATATTTGTATATCAAAAGTTTGAATCAGAAAATGAAATGATTCACCGATTTGATTTTGAAACCCTTATTACAAATTTATGGAAATGAAATAAAGTTGATACATCGTTCATTTGAAAATAAATAAGTTATCTATTTCTAGCCCTATGCGTTGACGAAGTCACGCTAGGGTTATTATCGCGAGGATAACCTGATTTGTGGCTTATAAGAAATTGAGGCTTATATGAAAAGGTAATAGCACATGATTGTATGCAATGGAGATTATAGATGCATGTGATAGATTATAGATACGCAGAGATTATA